TCCTGGCGGGACGGGGGAGCAGGGATGAGGGGTGCAGGGATGCAGAGATGAGGGGTGCAGGGATGCAGAGATGAGTCGTGCAGGATGAGGGGTGCAGGGATGCAGAGATGCAGAGATGAGTGGTGCAGGATGAGGGATGAGGGGTGCAGAATGAGGGATGCAGGGATGAGGAGTGCAGAATGAGGGGTGCAGGGATGCAGGATGATGGGTGTAGAGATGCAGGTGGTGCAGGATGAGGGATGAGGGGTGCAGGATGAGGGGTGCAGGGATGCAGAGATGCAGAGATGAGTGGTGCAGGATGAGGGATGAGGGGTGCAGAATGAGGGATGCAGGGATGAGGAGTGCAGAATGAGGGGTGCAGGGATGCAGGATGATGGGTGTAGAGATGCAGGATGAACGGATGAGGGAGGCAGGGGTGCAGGATGAGGGGTGCAGGGATGCAGAGATGAAGGATGCAGCAATGAGGGGTGCAGGGATGCAGGGATGAGGGGTGCAGGATGAGGGGTGGGTGGATGCAGGGATGCGGGGTGCAGGGATGCAGAGATGAGTGGTGCAGGATGAGGGGTGCAGGGATACAGAGATGAAGGATGCAGCAATGAGGGGTGCAGGGATGAGGGGTGCAGGGATGCAGAGGTGAGGGATGCAGGATGAAGGGTGCAGGGATACAGAGATGAGGGATGCAAGGATGAGGGTTTCTGGTGGTCCTGTGCCTCTGGAGACATCAGATGACCAAAGGGGACAGAGGGCAGTGAGAAGATGCCTGCTAAGCTGATCTTCTTCCTGTTGACAAAGGCTGTGTCCTGTAAGGATCCCTGGGAGCGGGGCCAGGAGATGATGGTGCCGTGGCTCTGCCAGGGGAATCAGGGTGCCCATAGGTGGGTGGACAACCCTTGTTGGCCAACAAGCCCGTCAGTGGGACCCCCACCACTTGGTGCAGGAGCTCCCAACCTCCTTTTTTCCCCTATTTTTCCATGGTAAATCCAAAGAAGGGGATAAAGATCAGCTAGCCAGCCCGGGGAGGTGGATCTCCACTGCCTGGCTTCTTATCTGGGTCACCTCCTGTTCCCTCCAGCCAAGCTTTGTTTGGGGAAAGCTGTCACCTTCCTGGGGGTCACCAAAAAAAAACACCCAACCCCAAGCCTGTCACCTTCGAGGCCACCCTTCAGGCAGGTCTCTTAATTGGTTGGAACACTTGATAAAGCCAAATCAGATGTTAATGATGTGCCTAAGCCTCCTAATTGGCTCCACCAGGAATGTGCAGCATTCCTGGCCCCTTGCTGGGGCACTTAGGGGGTTAATTCAGTAATTGGATTCCACCCATTCCACAATTTGTAGGGGTTTGTAGGGGCACTGGGGATTGTCCACCTCCCTCCATCCAGACCAACTGCTGAGGTCACCTTAGAAGATGAGAATTGAAATGGTTTCCAGCCCTACACACAACAGTAGGTGTCCAGACCATGACGGAGGTAGGAGAGGAGAATCTGATGGGGCTTGCTCAAGACAGGAAGATAGAGAACTAGGTTGTGGCAAGGAGGTGACACTGCTACAGAGGACCCAAGTGTCACCCCAGCCCCTTGTCCAGGAGTTGAATCAATGCAAAGGAGATCTTGGCTGGTGAAAGCCAAGCCCATGTGGCATCTAAGCCTACTTCTCCTTATGGAATTCAGCTGGTTCTTACTGGTGTTCCCCACTCTTGACTGAGCCCTAGGAGGCATCTCCAGGGGCTTCCTCACCCTGACCCCTCCTCAAAACCCTTCCCTCTGCTTTTCTCCATCTCCAGTGGGGTTTCTTGCCTTGCCCTCATACATCCAGGGGTGGGGTTTGAATGGGAGCACATTTTGGAAGCAGTGATGAGGATTTTGATAACCCACTAAGCTTGAGTTGTGGTGGCTGTGGTGACACCTGAGGATGATGGCAATCTTGCTGGGAAAGGCTCCTGTCTGAGGGCTTGGGTTGGTTTTTGTTGTTATCTTGGCCTTCAACAACCAGCTGGGGATCCTGAGAAGGTTCAGTGGGGCTGGGCTGGGGAATGAAGGGATGTGTCAGGAGGTGCTGGAGGAGGGATGGGAGGGAGGTTAAAGGGTGCATCTAGGGGGGTTGGGAATGGGAAGGGAAGGGAAGTAAGGGAAAGGGAAGGAAGGGAAAGGAAGGAAGGGAAAGAAGGGGAAGGGAAGAAAGGGGAGGGAAAGGGAAAAGAAGAGAAGGGAAAGGAAAGAAAGGGAAGAGAAAGGAAATAAGGGGAAGGGAAGGGAAAGAAGGGGAAGGGAAAGGAAAGGAAGAGAAGGGAAAGGAAAGAAGGGAAAGAAAGGGAAGGGAAAGGGAAGGGAAAGAAAGGGAAGGGAAGAAAAGAGAAAGAAAAGAAAGGGAAGGGAAGAGAAAGAAAGGGAAGGGAAGAGAAGGGAAAGGAAAGAAAGAGAAGGGAAGGGAAGAGAAAGAAGGGGAAAGGGAAGGGAAAGGGTGCACCTCAGTCACTTGGGGGTGTCTCCCTGTCCCTGCTGCTCTCCACCACTCCTCACCACCCCCTTGGTTGGTCCCCACTTCTCAGGCCCTGGGACCCAGCGCTGCCAGGTCCAGGGAGGCAAAACCGCCTCCCCCTTGGAAAACTGCTGGAGTTGGGAAGTTTGGGCTAAGCCCCACACACCTGCACAAACAGCTCGGCGGGGCACAGCCCTGCCCTGCTGGATTAGTCTCATTTCCAGAGGGAAGGAGAAGGAAATCTTCTCTGGCAGCTCCCCCGGGGCAGGGGGGAGGAAAAACAAACACTTTCTTGCTGCGCTGGTCCCTTTTCGGAGGCGGCAGCAGCGGGGGCTGCCACCCCCCCTGGCTCACAGGAGGTGGGAAAGTGCTGGCTCAGCAGAAAAAGAAAAGGCTCAGGCTTGAAGCAGCCCCTGGATAAGGGACAGTCGGGTGTCCTGCGGTGACAAGGGGACGCGTGGAGGGGTGGGGAGGCTGCATCCTGTCCTGCCTCTTCACCCCAGGGCTGGACCCTTTGCTGCCCAGAAGCAGGAGTGAGACCCTAAAATAACAACAGGGCCATCCAGGGGGAGCTCCGGTGGGAAGGGGAGGGGGAATCCCCCCCCCCCCCGGTGGTGAAGGAGTCGGGTTTCTCTCTGGAGCTTCCAAGAATTTATTATAAACAAGAGCAGGGAGGAAAAGCTGGTTTCTAAATGATGACAAATGTTCCTCTGGCAAGCAGGGCCCAGGGGTCTTTCTCCATAGCTTTCTTTTCCCCCTCATAATTCTTTTTTTAAGAAGGGGGAAACATCTTTCCAAGCTCTCCTGATTATTTTTTTTTTCCTCCCCTGGCATGTGTGGGGGCCCCCCCCTGGGTATTACATCAGCAGTGATGACCAAGCAAGTGGGGCAGGAAACGAGCTCCAAAAGAGTGACGTGATCCCTGGAGGGAAGGCAGGCCCAGAAACAAGAAGGCATTGTTCTTTTTGCCATTGGAAAAAGAAAAACAGGGATTAAAAAAAAAAAATAGGGAAAAAAGGAGAAGTGCTGGAAAGTGTCTGGGCACAAAGGGAGGAGCTGGGATGGCTGGAGCCCCCTGATTCTTGGAAAGGGGGTGGGAATGAGGGGTGAGGGATGGGGCTGAGGATGGGGAAAAAATAGGGATGAAGATAGGGATGAAGTCAGAGCTGAAGATGGGGATGGGGATGAGAAAGGGGATGGCGATGAGAAAGGGGGTGGGGATGAGAAAGAGGATGGGGCTGAGGATGGGGGGGAAAATAGGGATGGGGATGAGAAGAGGATGGGGAAAAAATAGGCATGAAGTCAGGGATGAAGATGGGGATGAGAAGGAGGAGGGGGCTGAGGATGGGGAAAAAATAGGGATGAAGATAGGGATGAAGTCAGAGCTGAAGATGGGGATGGGGATGAGAAAGGGGATGAGGATGAGAAAGCCAGGAGAAGATGGGGATGGGGATGATGAGGATGGGGTTGCAGATGAGGATGGGTCTGGGGATGAGGATGAAACAGGGATGAAGATGAGGAAAAGGATACTGGGGATAAGGATAGGGTTGCAGATGAGAATGGGACTGGGGATGAGAATGAGGACAGGGATGAAATAGGGATGATGATGTGGATAAGGATAGGGTTGCAGGTGAGGATGGGGCTGGGCTGAGGCTGGGGACAAGGACAGGGATGAAGCTGAGAATGGGGACAGGAAACTCACAGGAAGGAGTGTTGCTGAGCAGAGGCAAGACCTAGCTTTGCAGAGGGCTCTGGAAGGGAAACTGAGGCATGGAGCAGGAGTGTGTGTGTCCCCTCTCAGTCCCTTCTCAGATGTAAGGACACTTTTGGGGTCAGTGGTCCCAGAGGAGCCTTTGGGAAGGGGAGGTGTGTTAGGGTGTTGCTGGGGGGGAAGTGCCAGCTCCAGCTGGGCTCTGTAATGCTTTTGGAAAGCAAGGCAGCCCCCACCCATCCCTGCAGCTGTCTGTCTGTCTGTCTGTCCACACACAGCTGCCTTCAACTCAGCCCCAGGCACAGGGACACGCTGGGGAAAAGGGCTAGAAGTTTGGGGGGGCCTAGGGAAGCAGAGCTCCCATTCTCACCCAGTTTTGGAGTGTGAAACAGGAATCAGAGTAGGAAAAAAAGGGGCCTTTCTTTGAGGGGTCGTGTTGTCCCTGGTCCCTGTCACAGCCACAAAGGGGGGACCCCAGTAACCCTTCCCAGGGTGGCTGGGCACAGTGGGTGTAATCACTTCCAGGAGGATGGGGTTGAGCAATCCTGCTGTAGGGAA